ACTTGATTCTTTGGGGATTTAAGATGTACAAAGATTCATAGAAATTTTTTTATTCAAGATTTTCGGAGGAATATTTCAATGGTAATTTATCTTTGTTTAACTTAGAACAGATCGAAATCATTTTTTAAATATTTAGGTTTACTCCTCCTCAAATACCTTAATACAGAGCTAACATATTAACTGATGTTAGAGTCCGAAAATGTACCACGAAGCTAAATAGGGTGAGATAGAATCGTCATCGTAAATTTGTGTGCATTCAAACGTTTATGCATATAAATTTAGCTTGCACATTTGACTTCGGAAGGTATAAATGTTCAATTTAGAAAGCAAATATACAATGTTAAACTATTTATATAATCTCCAAGAGAACGAAGAATATTGTGCCCGATTTTATCTAAAATTCTAAAGAATAACTTTAAAAAGAATGAGTGTCAAAATATCTATGTTGCTATATGTCATAGAAAGGATTACCCTTAGTTTTCTAATATAAATTAATGTAATCATTAAATTAAGATATTTTTGCAGTATTAGTTCTATCAAATATATGTAAATATTACTGGGGATTCGGAAGATTCACCAGTCTAACTTGCCATCCTGACTTTCTCCCTTCGAAAAACCTCCTAGCATTGACCCACGATACAATTCTTTAATGACCCTCCCTTCCACAATCGTCTTTTTGACGATCATTTTAACGTGACATGGTGTTACTCGACCATACCAGATACCCTGACCATCTCTATAAACAATTACGTTGCCGGCAAATTGATGACCTATTATAAAGAATTTGAGCCAAGATATTAAATGGAGAACAAACATCTAATAAATTTGAGTTGGAATCCAAATTACCTCCCACATGGCTTGACAGATATACCGCCACTCCCTTATTTCCACTGCAATTTAGATCCAATTCCATATCTTGTAAGACTTTGTCAAATTCATCCTTTAGCAAAGGTCCAGCTACTCCGCATCTAATATCTCTTTTTCCTTGCCCACATATTAATACTCCTGCTTTGTAAGGTA